CATCTATTATCTGGATTTTTTTCCGTTCAGTCCCATTCTTGGGTCCGTTATTTGAACTTATTTCCCATTAAATCAATTATAAGTACCTAGATTTCTATTTAATGTACGATCCTGCATGGTATTTTTAATACCAAAATTCTATTTCATTAATTACTAATTAAGTTTTCCTTTATTGTCCATTAAATACTAATCAAGTTTTCCTTCATTATTCATCCTTGATTTCCTCAAAATCGTTACAATGTGACTGTCTTATTCATAATTCTAATTGTACTTCGTATTTTATTTCGTGTTTGAACGATGCCGGCCGGAGCTGGGGTGTTGCCCTGTAACCTGCAGATCGCAGGAGTGTGAGGCCTTGTAGAGAGATCTGGGGATTGCCGAGGGAGGAAGGCAATTCAGTGGTGTATAGGGGGGGGCTGTGAGTTGGCGAGAAGAGATCTGCAATGTGTGACGTGGGTTAGGATGATATTATTTCTGAGTATCGGTTTTCTGTTATAGGAAAGGTTAGGTGTTACTCAAAGATTAGGAGGCTGGAATAGAAGATACAGTATAATCGTAATCATCGTAGTTGCATCATCAGGATCATCTGGATCATTGTCATCATCCTAGGAGGGACGCTGAGCCCGGTTCTTAGTGAGTTTGGTTTGGTTTGGTTCGGTCCCTCCGGGCAGACTGTGAGGACCCCGGCCTCAACATTTTCATTTGGAATATACGCCTTGGGCACTGGGCCCGTTTAAAAAAAAAAAAAAAAAAAAAAAAAAAAAGAGCGTACACAGCCTTCAAGCGTACACATAGCTTGCAAACTACACATTGCCTACGGGCTCACATATATACACATACACAAGTTTCCGGGTGCGTGCATACATATACAACTATAATATCAGGCTGGGGGGTCTAGTCACTGGGTGGGGTCTAGTATCTGCAGTACGTTCAGGTAGGTTGGATAGGGTGCCATTGGGCGTGGTTCCTACTGACATTCAGATAGAACTGTCTGGTGGTTATATATAAGGCTCGGACCCTAGGGTAAGGGTAGGGACATAAGTCGCTCAGGCCAGTCCGAGTTCTGCCTGGCCTTGGGTAAGCTAGGGGAAGGACGGTAAGACTGCTTCAGT